TAGGAGACCTTGGGCCATCCTCAGTGAGTCCTTTCTGGTCCACTCCAGGAATCTTCCTAAAACTGCAAAGTGTTTGCCTCCCATGGTCTTCTGTGGTCCTTGTGTCACTGTCCGTTGTGACCTACAAAATGTTTCTCAGCCCCTTCTCATGCTAAATTAATCCCATGCTCTCTTACTTAGGAGGTGCGATTAAAAATCCTCAGCTAATGACACTGAAGAATTCAGTCTTTGGGAGAGGTGAATTCTACAGGAGGATTCACTGCAAAGCATTTGGACGAGGGCAGCCCCTCAGCAGCCCTACAGAAACAGCAACAATGCACTGACCGAGACCTACAGCTCCTTTCCCCAGGATGTCTGGAGTATTAATGGGCAGTTTAAAGGCTGTCAGAGTCCGCTTCAGTTGCACACTTCCAGAAGAGTTAGACATAGCTGCAACTAAAATCAGGGATCTATAATGCTATTGTGGCAGCCCCAGCCTGCACACCGTTTCAAGCATAACCCCATGAAAGCCCAGACTTGAGGAGGCACAGCACCTCGCCTCCAGATGTTATGGTATCGATAGTCCCAGGAGCCACCGGCAGGGAAGCAGCGATAAACTCAAAAACATCATGATCCGGGCAGAACACCTGATTACAGCAGCCTGCACCACGTCCCGGCGGTAGCAAAGTCGATGCACTCAGGCAAGGTGATGCAGGTCACTGTTGCCGGGGAAGTGAGGGAAAGATAAGAAATGAGAAGAGAAGAGCAGCTGTGCTTGCTCTGTGGGCCCATCGGGCAGATAAACTAGATGCACGTGTGTGGTTGGGAGAGCTCGGCTGGCCCTGGCTGAGGTGGTCCCTCTCCATCCCTGAGGCAGCCTGGGTCACAGAGGAAGGTCTAACCAGCGAGGAGGCAGCTGGCCTTAGCAGGCAAAAAAAGCCAGAGCCTGAGGCAGCAGCAGTGGAGGGGAGCTGGTCTGAGAGCTGTTTATGCAGAGACACCACCTCCAACCCTTTCCCACAGCTGAAAATGCTATCTGTCTGTGTAGGCGTGTGCATATTTAGCAAGTTCGATATTTTATCATCAAAAGTTGTGGGGCTTTATGTTTGCTTAACTGTGTTCTTCTATAAATATTAACAGGCATGCTGCGTGCAGTTTCACAAGAGTCTATTCCAGCTTTGCAAAGTCCTAGTCATCTATTTTCCTAGGGTAAGTAATTTCTTTTGATAGGCAATGATGTTGAGGTTTGCTTTCTAAACATTTATTGAAAATTGGAAATATTTAGGTGGTTTGCTCAGGTAAACCTTCAAGATCTCAAGAACTCTCAATTTCTCAGTATTTTATGAACTCCTGAATGTTTCTTAGTTTGTTGGTTTTTTTTTTCTTTACTAGTAACATGGCCCAGTATGGCATAATACAGGATTTAGACAATTTTCTTGATAAATAGAATATTATACTACAGTGTGTACAAAGGAAGTAGTGGCAACAGCTTATGCTACCTATCCCATACTTTACTCAGTTCTACTGAGTGCTGCATAAGTTTTTTAATCACTTATTATATTTAATCATTTATTAGATGGAAAGAGTAAATTCCTCCTTTCTCCTTTCTCCTTTTCCCTCTAATCTTTATTTCAGGTATCTACAGGTGTATTCCACTTACAGACTGAGAATTTCCTTCAGCTGCGGATCTCAAAAGAGACTAGACTGACACAGAAGTTAAACACTGACAAAGACTTTAAAAGTGTTTCTGGCTATGCAGAGAAACTGAGATTTAGAAATCCACTATAAAGTAGATTTTTATATCAATGTATTTAGCACCTGCAGAATTATCCAGGAATTTTAGAGTCAGAAGTCCTGACGTAGTCACCTGAACTTTTTTATGTATAAAATACTTCTGAAAGGGTTGTAGGATACAACTCCACGTCTTTTGCCACAAAGCTAACTTAATAACTTCTTCCATGTCAGAGGCCATTTGTTCCAAGCCAGAATTTATCATTCCTGCAGTCATAACAGTACTACTGCCATGCTTCAAACTCGTTCACTAGAATTAAGTCTCTACTTTTAAAAAAAATTTTAAAAAAAGAGTTATAAGCTGATTTTGCTGCCATAGCAAATTTACTGAATAGCTGAGTCCTTCGTCCCATGTTGCTTGTGATCAAGTTATTCTTTATCCTTGAAATACTGTGAAGAGTGCAGGCTGCTTTTTCAGAAATGCGCACCTCATCCTCCTACTGTCTGTAGTGTCAGATCAGCAAGGCAGCCAAGCATGTGCTTACCTTTAGATTTGTACTTAGTACCCTTAACTTGCTGCTTTCACAGCGGGTTAGAAAGGCTAAGCACATACTTGAAGATACACGTACACTTACCTTTTCCCCTTCTTTATTATAGCACTTGTAACCTGTAAAGAACTCTATCTGTAGCCAAACTCCTATTGCTATTAATTCTGAAAATAAGCACAAATATTTATGTAAAATATTAATATGTTTGTCAGATCTTATCTTTGGAATAATTACTTTAATTAAAGGAATTTATAAAAGCTAACATTACGTCTACAAGCCTTAGCAGTAGCATTTGAGAATAATGGAATGTAGAGTGGCTGATTTATTAGCCTTAAAATACATGGAAATATACAGGTAAAACTTTAAGTTGGGAAACAATTCAAAGGAATATTATGTTTTATAAATTAGACAGATGAGTTGTGTTTACACAAATATAGGGCATACACAAGCTGATTATCATTCAGTATATTGCTCATGTTTAAATGTAAAATATAAAAATAAATGTAAAACATGTAACTACTGCTTCTTAATGGCCGTTTGTAATTTGAATTGGCCTTTGATATGGACACAACACTGGGAACATTACAAAGATCTTTAATACTGTATACAGATAATATTTATTCTTTATACTGTATATTCTTATATCTGACTGCATTTGCTACTACTATGTCTCTACACTCATTGGATGAGTCCTACTCCGATGTTTCCCTCCTCCCTTCTCTCCCCAGAAAACTTTCCTTAACCTGTCTCCAGTGCCTTGCTGTCTTCACTGACCTCTTCATAGCCAGCTCTACCCTCCTTAACCTGTGAACATCTTCAGACACTGCTCCTGTACCCATTTCTTGAAATTTTATTTTCCTTTAGCTTCTCTGACTCCTTTTTCCTGTCCTTCTCTCTCTCATTTTTTATTATATCATAGTACTTTGTGATCACTACTGACCATGTTGTCCCATACCACCTCACTGTTAACTTTGACTCCTTTCCAGCACCCATCAGTCATCTCATATTTAATAAGTGTATTGCAAACACAAGGAAAGATCCACCTTTGTCTTCCACACAGATAGAACACTGAATACTGATCCTATTAAGAAATCCAAATTGATGTTTAACTGAGGCTAAGTATACATTTTGCTTGTTGATTTGTTGAAAGAATTGGCAAAAGAATGGCAATGCGTTGCTTACATGTGGTAATTTCAGTCATCTTTATGACATTATCTATGTAATGTGACTGCAAGCAAAATAAACAATGTCAAATCATGACTTCTATGTAGGGAAGACTAGTCTTTTAGACTAAAAGTTTGGCATACAAGCAAAAACCATATATAATTTAAAAATGCTTTAACTGCTGGCAGAAAAATTGTGTGAAATGTGTGAGCTTGAAAAGAAGAAACTACACAGAGGTTAAGTGGCATAAGAAAATCTTTCTCTCAATTGTGATCCTTTTAGAAAAGAAAGGTTTTGGGTTTTTTTTCTCTTGTGCTTACGTGTGTGTCAGTTGTGTGTACAGCACGCAGACTAGAAACATGTACATATTTATTTGTGTCTCCATCTGTTTGGTAAAGCACATAATTGCATTCTGAAGGAAATACAGTTATGTACTCTGAATAGAAATGCTTTCTGTATTGGGTTCCAAGTTAGTCAAGAATACTGCATGGATCATCAGTGTTCAATACTAATGCACTCAAATACCTTCAATCCTTACCACTCTGCTCTGCCAGGTGAAGAACTGCTAAACCAACTAGCTGCATGGCATAAAGGCAAATACAAGTTTGCTTGAGTCAGTCTAGACATAAGTGCATGGAGAAGTTTCACTTCAGAGGTTTCAAATTGGGAGAACATTTTGCTTACATCTGTCCTTTCTGTTGAATTCTGAACTCAGGTTCATTACAGCATTAATGCTAATAGCAGTGGGAAAGCAGGAAAAAGATGCACATCATGGAACATAACAAAATATTAAGATCAAGAATGATTTAATGTCTGAATTGAACCTCCCTTATGTTGTTACTGAGTTTGAGATGTGCTTTTTCAGTCTTCCATGATTTTCTGTTTTTTTTTCCACAGGAAAACTTCCCCATCAATTCACAAAATATTCTGGTGCTTGGTATGGTTTTACACCCTGAGAATTTATTATTCATGAAATAGGTCTTTTGAAGTACAATTTCTAAGTATTGATGTTTTATCTTTAAACAGTGAACATGAGAACTGGCTTAAAGGCCCACTGACAATCACTCAGGAATAGTTCAGCTGCTTGTGTCTAGGCAAGGTCTTCTCCACACAGGGAACCTTTTGTAAATATTAGTTACTAGAATCACAACACTAATACTTGTAGTTAATAATTATCACAATGTGCCAAAACTGCACAGTTTGCTCCCTGATTACAATATTAAATTGCTATTGAGCTGTGGTATTTGCTGCAGGCAATACTGCTGAGAAGCCTCCAAAGGCTTCGGTTGGCCTCCCCGCACAAGAACGAGAAATGTGTGCCTGCACAGAAAGCGCAGGCAGCACTGGGGTTTGCCAGAAAACAAACAAAACTCAGACAATAGAAGGAAAGTTTTATCAGAACTGAAGTAGCCTTCCACTTGGGAACTGTCATCGTGTGAAAAGAAAATCCACACACACATGCTCGATTAGAGCTTCTGTGGCAGGCCATTACCACGGGCTCGGTGATTCAAGCTGTTCATGGAGGCTCTGAAAGCTTTGTTTTAGTTGCTTTTGATGACATCTAAAAAGGAGGTAAGCCACTTCAGAAAAGTTCAGAGGTTCCTCGTGACATGTTTGCACATCTCCATCAGTGGGAATTTTTTCCTGTTACTTTCGCCTGCTGCACTGTAGACTGAATAGCTGCTACCCGCGAGCTGAGTTGTAGATGACGAAGATGAGCCACCGTTTTGCTGGTACCATTTTGCCTTACAAATTTATGGTGATTCTAAACCTATACTCTAATCCTCACCTTCAGATCTTAATTCTTTGTATTTCTAAACCAACAAACCAAATGTCCCATTTTGAAGAGTTTCCACTGAACAGTGTGAAAGTCAGAAATCAGTCAAACTGTCTCCATAGAACTCAGGCATTTGGACTGACATAAGCATTCAGGTGAGTTCAGGGAAAGGTCTGAAAGGTACAGTGATATCTGAGCCCAGAACAGGTCCTTCATTAAGAATTCTGCTTGAGGGTGAGAGCTGGAAAATGCTTCCGCAGTGAAGCTTAATTAATGCTCAGTAATCTGATACACAGATATAACTATTATTTGATGGGAGGAGAAAGTGCGATAATTCTTCCGGGAGCTGAGTTTCAGATTCAAGGTTTGTTCCTTCTTTCCCTGCAACCAAATCACACTGCTTTGATTTTTCTAAACTGAATGCATGTAAGATTTGGCGAAACACTGAAAGGTAGCGTAACCAGAAGAGAGATTGCAGGCATTAGGATATTAATTAGTAGGAGCAGTTAGGGAATGTGGTTTGCAGGTATGAATTCCAACCCTTGCATATACAAAAGCTGTTGAAAGAGAGCACGCAGGCTTTTGACTTTCTCTAAAGCAAAGCCAGGTGTCTGCACTTGGAAAGTGCAGGTGTGAGTTTATGTACTGAAGTTTATCAGACCCAGGCTGAAACCATATCCCTTATGAGATCATGTGCTATTGTCCAGCTTCTGCATCATTAAGGCATGCTGTTCATGGAGGTTCTGGGAGTTACTCTTACAGTAGGTATGCTGGATTTTCTAACTCATTTCTTTTGTGAGCTTTATGGTCTCCTTAAAAGAGCTGTGTGAGTTACAAGGGGCAAGGCTTCCATCTTCCTTCAGAAAACATATGTTGAATTGAAACAGTAATAATACTGTAACCCCTAAAATAGGAACCAAAGAAGAGCGGACAGGTATTTGCTGGCTGCTTCACTAAAACTGCGTGTAGGTACCTTAGCTGAATTCAGTATTTCATTTCGTATTTGAAGCTCACCTCAGACACTTCCTCAGAGAAGACACTAGTGCTTTTATTTATGCACTTGCTGAATTGCAGAGCATGTGTTTCAGGTCTCAGCTGTCAGCCTTGCACTGTGAGCCTCTTGTCCAGAAAGAAATGTCATTCTTAAATTAAATCACAAAGGTATAAAAGAGAAAAAGGAAGGGAAAAATTTCTCTCTAGACTGTTCTCAGGATTCTTCTGAAACCAAGGTCATAAAATCAAATAGAAAGAAACTGCTGTGCCATTAAATCTATCCTTCTTGTTTCCTAGTACCTATTTTATGGAGCATTGTAGTGCCTGATTTTAAGTGTCCCTAGCAAGGACTGTATCTGTGGGTTCTTTTGGCTCATGCACGAAACTGAGATTAAGGTGGTCAGATACTTCTGCCAGGCATCACTGAGATATTTTATATCCTGTCAACAGCTCCTCTTCAAGAATAACCCGAGAAAATGAGTTGGATATGACAAGTAGTAAGGGTCCACTCTATTTCTTCCAGTTTCTTCTCTTATAGCAGCTAACATAAGAAAAGATCAAGGCTTGTCATAGAAAACAAAAAGGAAAGAGCTACCAGGTGCTGTATGTTATGGCCAGTACAATTAATTATTAATGCAGTACCGTTGGTACGACAGCAGACAGGCCAGGCTCTCGATTATGCTGTCTGTGGGCATTTTGCTGATGTTTGTCAGTGCCATTCTTGGTCAAGTATTACGATCCCATACCACTGCTGAGTGTGTCTGTCTTTTATTTGTGAATTACAATTTAAAGAACGGGTTACAGCTGACAGGAAAATGGCATTTCATGCAGCATAAATGTGTTGTAATTCCTGATTGTGCAATAATTTTGATCTGATCTTGCAGCCTGGATTCTGGACAAAATTGATTGGATTTGAAACTGTAACACGAGAACTTGAGTAACTGTATTTAGTGTATATTATTCCCACTGGAAAACTGGAAATCTACAATCTTTAAAAGGTTAAAATGAAGAGAAAGAGCCAAGCTAGGCTGGTATTATTTTGGGGCTTGTATAAAAGCTTTTCTTCTCACACTCACTAATAAATCTCACTTTCCCACTAGCTTCTAGGTGAATTTAGAGAAGGTTTTCTTCTCTGTGCAGGGCTGTACCTTTGAAACTCACCTCCTGTAATTCACAATCAGCCTACTATCACTGCAAGCCTGAGCTGAGATGGGCTGTGACTTCCCTACCTGCTCCTCCTAGCGAAAATTTGCCATCAGTGCTGACAAGACAGTAGCAGCCTCACTAGCTGCAAGTGACATCTCTCCTCACGGACAAAATATCCCATCAGCCTGTATTAGTCTGGAGAGCGCGTCTCTCCCAAAAAGCCCTCGTAGCCATGAGTCACGATGTGAAAGCCCTACCATCAGGGCAACAGTCAAAATTTATTCTCAGGCTGGCCTCACATGTTAACTTATCACCAAGCTAAGCTCTGCTGAAAGGCTGGAGCTTGTATTCACATAGGGTGGAAATTGGTTCCGCTGGGAGAGCTTCAAAGTCATTTCAGCCATTAAACTGTGGCTGGATGTATCATAAGTACAGGAGAGGTCGAGGCACTGCCTATGAACCACGGGGACTTGGTAAAGAAGTTCCTGGGAAATTGGCAGAGCTATTGTGTATTCTGTTTCAGTCTGGCTCTGCAGCGGGAGCGAGTCGCGTCTGTACATGAGACTCATTATGCTTCCTCTGTTTAACATACCAATTACTTTCTGTATTTACCATGTTTAGAGTGACTTCATGTCAAAAATTAATAACGCTAAAATAAAGAGCAGCGCTGGTGTGTGCTAAAGGGGAAGGAAAGCAGGCTAATAGAATGTGTAATAGAGAAGGAAGGTGAATTTGCAGCTGTAAGGATCACATCCAGATAAATTTCACGGTGTGCAATGGCAGGGGTCCCACTGAGGCCCCTGTGCTCTTTAAGGCACACTTCAGGCAGAGATAAGTGTATCTTGAGAGGTGCAGCGCCTAAGTAATTTCACCCTATAAGCAGTGTAAACAAGTAGCAGTGCCAGTCATCCCCTCCATGAGTTTCACTCCTCCAAATTTCTTGCCTGTGCCTCAGTATTATGAAGAAGTGCTCGGGGGTCAAGTGGTCAAGGTTGGAGGACAAGATGACAGGTAAATGTTTTTGGTTTTTTTTTTTACAGACCCTTGTACAAGCTTGAGCAAGTGAGAATACCTTGGTTCATCCTTGTTGATTCTAGCAGCCGGTCTCTGAGCTTCCTTTTCAGAACTCAAGAGTCCATAAAATATTTTACCCAGATTCTCCGAGGAATCTGTCAATTCTGGTGCATAGCATTTCCTTAAAGTACCGAGTTCAGCACCTGTCTGGTAATAGGACTTGAAGTGCTGTCTAAGTCTCTAGTAGGCAGCATACCATCACACAGAGTAGTATTCTTCATTCTAATTGATCACGACAGACAATAAATTGGAAGTCCTCTTGGTGGGAGGTAACTGAGAAAGGACTTTATTGATCAGTGGCATTGGAAGAGTTATCATTAACAGAGATCATGAAAACAGATGTAATATTTATAACCAAATCAGATGTTTTATGTTTTCATTAAAAGAAAGCCTCTCTATACCTCAAACTCAGTAAACCATAAAAGACCTCAAGAAACTGCAGGCATATACTGTTATGCAGTGTATGGTATAAGGTATGCAGGCATATACTGTTATTTGTACTTTAGTGTGCTTCCAATTTCAGCAGGATACCTTCTCCAGGCTGGCATGAGAAGTATCCTGGTTTCTGCATCCCTTCACTCACTGTCACCATTGATTCTTCATGGGATATTGTGTGAAGGAGAAAGGTGAGAAGCTCTGAATCTATCTACTTGTTTTGCTAGGCCGAAGGAGTGTTAAAAAATTTACTTTCCTATTTTCTCTCAATAGGCAACTGATCCATTATAATACAACACCTTTGTGTACATCCTTGTGGTTGGAGAGACACAAATTCTTCTAAAAGACAACCAGAAACACACTTCCTATTTTACCTTCTTTTGACTTTGTTTTCTTTTCAGTATAGGCTCAGTACTGCTAAAAGGAATAAGGATATAGGGGTCCAAGGGGTCCAGCAGTATGATAGCAAAGGACAGGACCAATGTGATTCCCTTTGCTTGCTAACTCCACTCAGATAGCAAGTTCAGGTGCAGATACAAAGTAATTCTATGTCATGGCACGGGTAGCATGATGTTGGTGCAGGGACTCCGTACAAAGCTCTGTCTCATACTCATGCTCATATCCCTATTGTTTTATTCCTTAGCGTTCCTGAAGGAGCAGATTCACCGATATGATAAAGCGCTTTTTGCACCAGTAGTAATATCTTAACATGTTTTTCTTGCTTTGGAAAGATAATTCATACCTAAGCAAACAAGCTGTTCTTACAGTAAAAACTGTACACACTCAGTGCTGAGAGTTTGCCTTGCATGTTTGCCCTTTTGTAAAAGATGATCTCCATTAAGAAATCTGTATTTTATAGTCCAATCAGTAAAGGCTTAAGAGATGGTTCTTGTGAATAGACTTTCTCATAGCCAAATCCTTAGTTCTTTGTTTACTTCTTTTCCATTTAAACTCCATTTTCCTGTAGTGGAAGTTTGCTTTTCACCTATTTCTGCTATTAACCCATCATTTCTTTTCCACTCAAACTCCACTGTGCTCTGAAGGCAAAGCAAGATTCTTTCCTTATAATGCATCACTCACAGGTAATGAAATCTCTGCCAGCAAAATATGCAAGAATTATTGTTGAGCAAATACCACTGGTCTCTTGTACAAGGAGAAATTCCACTCATGCCAACACTAAAGGTAATAAAGGGAGAGATCCAGGAACACTTGTTAACAATCAGCATGTGCACTGACTGGTCTGGTAACGGGTAAGGAGAACAGAGTTTTATAAATAATACAATAAAGAGGAACCAGCTCACTTGTCTTGAAGCAGGTTGGTTTTTCTGGGCTAAAAATCGTAAACTTTTTAGTTTTGAACGCAGGCAGCAATGATTCTCAGTACACAACAGGAGCAGATCTGCTGAGTAAGAAGGTACAATTTTTATAACATTGCTTGCAGAACAAGACATACATCAATCTTTTACTCTTAAACAAGCTCGGTGTTATTCTTCCAACAGAAAGGTCAAAAATACATGGCATGAAATCTAAATCACTCTGTTGCATTCTGCTTGGACTGGTTGTAGGGCTGTTTGCCTCTCACTGACTGTGTGTAAGGAATATCTTAGGTTTAAATATCTGCCAGAAAGCTTTCTTCTCAAGGTACAGGGAGCAATGGAGTATGACAATTACCCCCAGCCAGGGGCTGTAGTCATTTTTCTTCACCTAGGAAGGACCAAAATGAACCCCAATTTCATGCCTAGCCATTCTGCACAGCCATGGAAGACACTTTGCAATGCTTGATGTGCTGACATCCACCATGCAGAATCATAGGAAGAAATTCAGCAACCTGAATATCTGCTTTGGTATTTGTTTGCAATTAAAGTACTGTTATTTTTGTTAAGCACTTTCTATACTCAAGACACATCAAAATACATTGCACAGAAGGGGCTCTAGTGGTTTCAGCATAGATGTGTAGGTGAAAGGAGAAGTCAGTCTGTACTTCTACATGGTGACAACACACGGCTATGGATGGTTTGTGCTGAGGTATTGCTGGAGTCTCTTCTTGCTCTGTAGTACAATATACGAAGCCAGTCTCTCCCAGGTTTATCTCAAAGGGGTTTTCTAGAGTCAGTCAGCAATTTCTAGATGTGACAGGGCAATTGTCAATGTACATTTTTTTATGAAAGACCTTTACAGAGGATCTTCCTCGTGTTATGAAAAATAGTCCAGCCAGAGAGAGCATTCATTTGGGCTAGAAGACACCATTCCTTCACTGTTTTAAGCAGAGCAGGAATCTTTTGCTCATTCAAGGTGAAAGTTTTCATTTTTTGTGACCTAAAGCACACCAAATGTTTTTACAGGATCAAAACAGCCATTTCTCTATATGCTCTAAATTTCAGTTCCCCAAAACATGCACTAAACTATCCACACCAGAAATTATGCTATAAGACCTAGCTTCTGGCTGTAATTACAGTATTCAGTTAATAGCAGTAATTTGTAACTGTTCTAAGTTATGAATAACTCAATAATTTCAGGGCTGCTCATTGTCTACACCTGTAGAAACCTCCTTCTCTGAATCCTAATAGATATTTTAAAGTAATCTTATCACTTGCCAGCGGCTTAGCAAAAATTATGTACCACTGAATGGTAGAGCAAAGAGTTCGGAGCATCACTTAAGAATACCAAAGGTGTGACTATTTGGGATTCAAGAAAAGAGGAAAGTCTTACACCTAATGTCTGGTAAATAACTGAAGGACAAATAATATTCTATTAATTGTAAGTGTCCTATAATTTGCGTAGGTCATAAGTCACATCAGGAATGTACAATGGACTTCATACAAGTCAAGATAATCAAGGAGTCTGAATCTGTCTCCAGTAAGTAATGTGCACCTTCCTATGTGATAATTGTGTAACTCAAGGCCATCTACAAAATACAAACAGAATAATTAATATCTTCCTCATAACATAAAATGGTGGGATGGACTAATGTTGTTTGATCTCCTTGAGCCTTCTCCTTGTAATAAGCTCTTATTTCATATTGCATTATGCATAGTATATTCACTCACATCTCACCGTTGCACTGTTTTCCACCAAGACAATGAAAATACTGGGCTCCTTTTACATGCACCCACCCCACATACTGCCAGAAGTAGCTTACATCTAACCTGAGGCCAACAGCTGCTGGGAAGTAATTAGTTGCAGTGTGCTGCTATAATCCCTTAGTAAATGTAAGTGTAACTCCTATTTGTGCTGAAGGTGAAATGTTTGTGGTAACAAATGCCCTTTTCTCTGAATAAAAATGTATTTACTTTTAATCAATCAGGGACTCATTATCAGCGTTGTCTTCATCTCCCTAAACCTTGGCCTTTTGTGTATGATTTCAGTGCTGGAGGAGAGCGTTTGCAGGTTATTAAGAGAATGTTGCAAAATAACTCTAATGACCTGAATCAGCTAGGGATAGATGGTCAGAAATTACGAGGCAGGCTTATTATCTCCTGGTACCTCTAGGCTCTCACCAGACCCTTACAGTCCTCAAAACAGGAGGAGGAGGACATCATTGCCCCTATGATTTCATTAGTGAGTAGTTTATACACTGCATGATGCGTGTATGTGTGCAGATAGCATGCATGAAGAGCATCCACTACATTTCTCTGGCAGTGATAAGCCCACAGCTCACCACCATGCAGTGGACAGGAAGCCACCAGTTGGCCTCTTCCCATCGGGCTGACCTTCATCCCATGCCACCTGGGCAGTTGTTTTCTTTATTTCCAACATCCTCAATGCATTTATCTTGGCCAAGCCTGGAAATGAAAGTTGCAGGTCTCAGCAACCATGGTAAGAAATTTCCCGGAGGAGGCCCAGCAGTGTGGTCAGGCAGAGGGACTTCCAGCAGGACTCTCCAGATCATTTGTGAGGAGGAAGGAGGGCCCTGTGCAGAAAGGGGTGTGAATGATGCTCTGCCTCACTGACCTTAATGTTCCTCTTGTTCAGCGCATAATGGGGCAAGACAGGAGTGCCTACTCCAATAGGTATCTCATTGGAAATGTGAGACTATTGCAAGAAATGAGAGGAAATTCACTGTGGCAGTCTTCGGGGAAAAAATAAAAGGATTTTCAGGTTTCATGACCTCTTCAGCTGACTGTACAACAGCCTCTTCTCTTGGGTGGTTAGTTTGATAGGTCTTTTCTCCCTCCTTGTTCTTGAGTGTCCTAAACCAAGTATTGCTGGATGTCAAAAAGTGGCACTGACTTCAGATATGGATGACAGTAGTACCTGAAATATTTTTGATACATGTGTTTTTTAATTTGTTCAGATGCTGACATTGATTTTGAAACATTAAGACCAATGAGAAAGAGAAAATCTTGACAGAAAGCTCATTTTCTAGAGGAAGTACTTGGAATGAGTCTTTTCCTTGTGGACTTAATCCGTTGTCCTTCAATATCAAGTGAGGCTTCCACAGACAAATGAAATGGCAGTGCGGCGCATCTGTTTGCTATAGAAGGAGCACGAAGTTGTGGTAAGAAGTACATGTACTGCAGGAGGCAATTTTTATTCTGAACATGTGCAATTAGCTTTTGATATAAAGCTCCACTGCTACAAACTGCAATCTGGACTCCATTATTACCTGTTTTAAAGATCGCTTTCTATAACATCAGCAATGCTGAATCCAGACAGAATATTTGACTTGCAAGAAGAGCGCTAGCAAAGGGTAAATTGTGACAAAAATGTCTCCTTCCTTGTTTCTTTGTACAGTGCAGATCAAGTGATACACTCTCAGCAGTAATGCAGTCTGATCATTACCGAGCACTCTCCCTGGCATGCCTATGAGCAAACTTTCTATTGTTTCAATTAGATGATCTTGGGCATTCAGGGAATTTAATACTGATCGAGCTCAGCTTCTAAAATCCTAGAAATTAGAGCCTGAAAGAACCTAGGGAATCATCTTGTCCATCCCCTGACAATGCAGATTATTTTCTACTGTATTTTTACTGTGTTTTTTTCCAGTCTATTTTTAATGATTCTAGCAATGGGGCTTCCATCGTTTTTCCTGGGGGACTATTCTACATTCTAATAGATCTCACTGTTAGGAAAATTTTCCTGATATTCAGTCTAAATTTTCCTTTGCTCAATTTCATCCCATTACTCCTAGATATGCCCAGTAGAGGTGGGTGAAAACTGAAAGTGAGTAGGCAAACCTGACACATTATGTGTGCTCAGAGCCAATTTACAGCAGCGGGTAAAGTGATAGAGTCAATTTGCAGTATTCTGTAAGTGACAGAGAGGGTCTTAGGGCATGCACTCTCTGAAAATGGTTTTGAATCTTGATGAAAACCCCAAAGTATAAAAAAATATCCAGAAGCTGTAATGACTTCATATTTTTTACAGTGCTCGGGCTGAACACAACAAGATCTTCTGTGAAAAGATAACAGGTAGGGCACCTTTTTTATACTAGTGCTACCAATAAAACTTAAGTTCATACAGGCATCTGAACATCACACTTTTCCTTTTCACCAAACACTGCAAATTGTCATTTACTTCTTTTCTATGCTAGGCAGAATTAAAATCCAACTTACATTCCTTGAGCTATTACCCACTAGATAACGGATAATGAAACCCACGGCTTAAAATTGCATTTATATTGTAAATGTTCTTGTGTAAGTAACTTTATGTGTGTATAATTTTCTGATAGCTTGCTAATAAACTTTCTAAATCCTCTCTAAATCCCTGCTGTATACACATGCATTGCTCTTTCTTCATTTCTCCCTTTTTTCCTTTCCATATTTTATGTGCCGTTATGGGGCATGCAACAGTTTTCTTTCTTGCTGCTAATTCATTTCCAAACAGGCACCCAGTCTTGCCACCACTTTGCTGTCCACATTGCTAATCCTTTCAGACCACTTACCTACTTTCTTTTCTGTTGCTGTATAAAGATCATATATATGGTCCTTCTCTTCAATACCATTTATCTCTTTATTCATAGACATACATGTGCCATTTCCACCCCCTCAACTTATATTACTAAAAATTATTTTGCATCCTGCTCTTCATTTATATCCGTTCTTATAGTCACCACTTCCCCAGTGTGTTTTCTGACACTGCCCCAATACCTACTTCCATCAGCCTTCAGCCAGTACTGTGTCTGATCAAAAATGCAATGCTCCCAGATACGGGCATTTATATTGATTGTGGAAGATGGCAGACAGTGAAGTAATTCAAGTGGGATGGACACTGCAAGGAGAAAGGAAGACAATTTTAAAAGCCTCTTGAGCAGCATCCCAGCCTCCCTTTACACTGTAGAAAGTTTAGCAGACAAAAGAAAACCAAAAGGTTGTGTTCATTTTGCTGTAATATGAGGAAATCCGCAAGGAGGTGGTCAGAATTGTATCCAGATGCCTAGGTGGTGGCTGAACTGGGCAAATATCAATAAATACATCTGGAAGAAAAAAAAAGGCACAAGCTGGCTGAGCCACTGTGCATACACTACAAATTCCACACCTGGGGAAGAATTCAGCAATAGAGACAGACAAGGAAAAGAGAGGATGTGCAATTATTTAAGAGGAGCCTCTGTATGACAGGGTAAGGAGCAAAAGCTGCTTCTGAGGCTGGTGGGAAGTAGAGAGGGTGGTGGATGCCATGGGAAAGGGAAAGATGTGAGGCTTCAGAGAAAGAAAGTTCAGGTTGGTTGTAGGGGGATACGTTTGACGTCACACTGTGAATAGCAGGGCTCCACGTGTCCCTCGTGGTGCTGTGTTTCTAAGACAAGACATCAGAAGGGCAGGAGGGTAAGTCATCTTTCCAAGCACTCAGCACAGCCTCAGAAACCAGCTGTTGAAGGATGACTGTGTGTAATGTTACGGCTTTGCCCAAGGGGAAGGTCTCTAGACAGGATTACACCCATTCCTCCTGGCCTAAAGTTTTGTTAATCCAAGTGAAGACTCTTATGGTTCCTACTTTCCTTTAACAGTCAGTCCAAATACTGCTCCAGATGTCATTTTTTTTTTCTCATCTGCATTTAATCCCATAAAACTATCTTACATCCAATCCAGACCATTTAGCACTTTTTAGCCTTGTTGTTAGTTGGAACTCAAAGCCAAAGATCTCTACATCAATGGGGATCTATTAAATCAAGTTTTTGTCTCTCCCTCTAACGAACTGCCATAGATGAGACCAGCAGATGCATATCAAACTGGTATCATGTCAATGACTGACACAGCGATCCCCTCCTGCAGGAGACTTTTGTTCTTAAAATTTGCATCTCAGCACAGCTCTCTAGAGCTCTATGCATGTCCTACTAGTACAACCCTTTGGTCTTGCCTTTCCCAAGGATGAGCAATGTGGTAACACTGTTAGCAGTACTCTTCTGCAGCTGTCACTGTTCAGGGCAGACACCAATCTCTAACTGTATTTAGGAATCAGAAGAAAATGTTACACCAGTATCAGCTGTTTTCATTGTTCCTTAGGGGCCTTGCACAACCTCATCTTTATCTCCTTTCATCCTATTTCCCTCATTGATCCCATATTTTTCCCTCTTTGATGACTGCAGTACTCCCTGTGACCCCTTCCTCCACTCTGCTTTCTGCCTCCTTACACGCCATTTGAGTTAGCTTTTCCCATCTGCTTCCTATGTGCCTTGCCTTAAAACCCACAGGAGCATTGTGCTGATCTTCTCACCACTTGAGTTCCCAAGCCCTCTTTCTTCTCAACATTGATTGTAATTTGTTTTGTTCTAATAACTGATAAACTCTTTTGGACAACAGTCTTGACTCCTTGTTTCTTTTGCAACCGTATACATGTATGTGACTCTAGATACCGAGCTTAAATTTACTTGAAAAGGATTTGGTGAGGTACAGCTCCGTGCAGAAGAGAAGGAGTGCAAGGAGAAAGATGCAGCAGTCTGAGCAGAGCTAATGCACAGTCCTTTCAGCAATGTTGTGGCTATGCTTTAGCAAAAAAAAGAGCCTCTTCCATGGCTGTTATTTTATGAAGTGTCTCACTAACATTTGCAGGAGATTTTGAAACAGTTGTGAAAAGCAAAATGCACTTCCTCAATGAACATGCCATAGACTGGCCTACTTCTTTTTCTGTTGGCCACCACCTTCAGAGCATTTCCCATTTGTCCTGCCTGTAACTCTTTGGCATGGCAAAGCTCTTGCTCCGTGGTACCGGAGCAACTTTCTCCTTAAGGTGCTTTTTCCTTCAATGTGAAGACCTGTGACATTCTCACAAGCCCCATGGGAAGGCTTGAAGGGGGAATTTTTGGAAAGGTTGCTAGCAGAAAGAGCTGTGGGCAAGAAACCTGTGCATGGTAACACTTTCCCTAAGAAAGCAATAAAACATTATTATAAATGAACAGAACTGTATCAGAAGTATCTCATGCATCAGTTTCTCCTTGTAATTGGAATAACCCTATCAGATCATAAGATAAAAACTGTGGTGTTGACACTGGGACCCCTTTCAAGTAGGGCAATTATTAGGTTGTATTCTTGAACCAATCTGCTCCTAGAAAACAAAGCTAGCCAAGAGAAATTAAAACAAGACCAGAAGGCGCTAAAACAAGAATTGGAAACTTTACAAAAGGAATTACAGCAGCATCTGGAGGTTTCCCAGGAATGGCTGAAGTGATTTGCAGGCAGAGGTGAACTCTCTGTTGTGGTAATGATTACAAAATGTCTTAACAGACTGAAGGCCAGCTGCAAAACTTCCAGTCTGAACTGATAAGCCCAAAAAAGTAAATGGCAAGCATACTGCCACAGATCTTTCAGGGTAGGGAGACACCAGCTGGGAATCCACTAGAAGGGATGAAGTAGAACAAGAACACACTGGCTAAATTTCAGCTCCACGAGGAAATCTCTGGTTGCAGACCCATGATGGTAGCCAGCCACCTGGACTTTCAGTTGGGCCAAGCAAGAGCTTAGGAAAAAAACATTTACTGCAGTTCTGACTGGCAAGACATAGAGTCCCATTGGAGAGGCTGGGTTTTCATACGTCAAATAATGCAAATATCTGATATCTTTTAGGGGAAATTGAATTGGAGATTTACTTTTTTAAATGTAAATTCAGGAACTGAATGAAAGTTGGTGAAGATGGAGATGCTTGAATAGCCATGCCCTGAAAGTGTTGTGGCTCTGATTTACCAAAAAGAGACTTCATGTAAACAATTTATCTGGATTAGAATCATCCATAAATATAAGTCAATACAGATGCAGCTCAAAGCCAGAACAGAAAAGAAAGGGGAAAATAAAAGAAAATCCCACCCGAACAGCAAGAGAACCTCCGTGCACAGATGTGAGTGAAGGCTTTCAGGATAAACTGGCAATGGATCAATTCAGAGGTGCTCAACTGGACTTAAGCTTTAACACTAGGGTCAGTGAATAGCAGCCAAGGACACTCTACGAGGTCTCTGGGGTTTGCAGAGGAAATTGTGATTCTCCTGTTGCAGCCATGGACCAAAGGAAGAAGCAGTTTCTGATGGCAAGGGTGAAAGACCAGTTCTACAAATTCCCCAAGTACAGTTCTGTATCAGGGAAATAGGATACAAATCTGTCCTGCAATGTTATTGAAGAATAATAAAAACAAAAAACTTGGCCCAGTGAAATAAAAGTGAGAACAGTGTCAACTAAACTTGAAATCTAACACTGTCAAAAAAAAGTTTATTATTAATACAAGGCTGCCACAGGCAGATCATCTTTACTTCCTAGAGAACTCTTCTTTCAGCTCAGGAAATGGAAGGACACCAAACTGAAGAATCAAAACTTGGGAACGCATCACAGGACCAGTACACCGGTTTTATATCAGGCTGGACAGCTAACAATAAGAAGAGGAATTTTGGCAATTGAATGTGTAATAGAATCAGTGAAATGTGAAAGAATTGTAGATGTTGTTTCAAACTTTATATTTATTAGACTAGACAAGTAAAAAGGACTAGGGATTTGGAAGATCCAAAACGGAATGTCTTAATTGATTTCAAATGGAGAGAATGTCTGGGGAATGTGAAAACATCCAAAACCTGGGAAAACAGATTCTGCAACAGGAGGACCTCTGTAATGTGAACAAGAGGTATGAGCAACTGAGATAACAGATGAGCTAATAACTGAGTTAAGAGTTTATCATATCTAGTAACAGTAGGAAAAGTTATCTGCAAATTGGGTGATTGGAAGATCCTTTTGAACATGTGGACTAGCTGAAACAAATGAAACAAATTTGCGGTAGTTTGCGGTAAATAAGCTGTCACGTTTCCAAGCTTAGAAGCCACTAACACAACTGCTGAAAATTCCTTTATACTGGAAAAGGTGAGAGTGGCTTCTTCTGGAAGACTGTATAGACCCAGGATTACAGGATACAGGGATTATACAGGAAATTCTTTAGAGATAACCTTTGTCTTGGCAGCTGGGAGAAAACAAATCAAACTTATTGAAGACACTGGGAATGCCTGGTGATGTGAAGTTAACTTAATAAAAACTGTTTAAAAATGCAGGGAGACTTAAGTACTTACTTTAATTTTACTCTTAAAATCTGAATAAACTTTATCTTGACTTTGACTGAAATAGGGTGACAGTTTCAGTGGATTGAGCTGTGGAGAAGGACATACATCATGTTAAACCCATTTCAGACTGATATGTCTAGCCAACAGCCTTGAAGATAAATGTAAGAGATAGGTAACCATGTGTGTTCCCCAACAATAGAGAACAGACAGCACAGAGAAGAGGGCCTTTTCTTGATATAAAAAAGCAAAAAACAAAAAACATGGGGATGGGAGTGAAAGAAGGTAGAAAATACAGTTTGAGATGAAAACAGAGAAACAGAGATGAAAGAACATGTATGCTCTGACAGCAGCAGAAATGACAGAAAGCTGCAAAGGATCTTCAAGCAAGAAAATTGCCTATCTCTGCATCCTTCTTGCATCAAGAAAGTAGAATTTGGTACATTTCTGTAAACAGAATCATAGAATCGTAGCATTGGTTGACCACAATGATCGTCCAGTTTCAACCCCCCTGCTATGTGCAGGGTCGCCAACCACAACATCAGACCACCCAGAGCCACATCCAGCCTGGCCTTGAATGAAAAATAAACAGAATTTTATTAAATGCATTGTCTCCATCGGCAATTTCTCCTCCTAGGTGGAATAAAATATACTTTTGGCTACCTGCTCACATTAAAAGTAATTAGACAGCTTCCTTTATTATAGATGCAGTAAGGTAAAGAAGTTGGGTTTAGGAGGTAATGGGTCCATGTTTTCTGGCAGACAACTCAAAATACAAAGATGCAGACTCAATAGAATCTCCTACCAGGCTTCCTACAAATTTCTTCCATGAGTTAATTAAAAGTTTAATTCTCAAGAGGTTAATCCAGATTTAAACACGTTTTTTCCTAGTTGCAGAATCTGGAGAGCAATGTGTTAGTGCAGGGAAAAAGTCCCAGACACAGGAAAAGTGAACTACAGCAACAAGGTAAGGAGAGAAAAGGAGAGAGAGAGGATTTTGAAGAGGAAATCGTCATGATCAATAATCAGACACACTTCAAACCGAGTGTCTGGGAGGCATATTGAACAAGAGGAGCAGCACTTTTTTTGGCTTGTTTTCTTTCCTGCTGTACTGCTGGGTTTGCTCTTTGTTTTAAAATTTTGGATGATATCAGCCTAGTTTTAAGAAGGCTTCCCCGATGTCACACCTATTTATTCCTTTATTTCACAGACAGTCTACAGAGAGCAAGATCTGTTCCACAACAGAGGATCCTTAGAGTTGTAGTGTTTGCCATGCTATCTCAAGCCCTAACCACTTTATTCTCTGTAATTTGATTATTTGGTCATGCCCTGGAATGCAAAGTACAACTCTGATGTATTTGTATAAGCCTAGGCTCTTCAAGTACAGTAAGTAGCTGAATGATGTATGTTAATGACATGCTCTCAGTAATTTTTATAATGCGAGATCTCTGCCCAGATTTAATGTTTAATATCCCTGGGATTCACATTGAAATTATTACACACATTATGTATTCCATTCCTTGGACTTAGAATTAATTTCAAAACAGAGCAAAAGTGCATCCTATTTGTTTTCTTGAGGGACTTTGCATCAGTAACAGTCTATTTATTCTGGAGTTTCTGAAGTTAGAAATACCTTTTCCCTTTGCTATCTTTGATCTATCCTGACGAACTGTGCAGAACATTTCATTTCTTTGTCTCATCTCAGTTATGCCATTTCCTCATTCACTTGAAAAATATTTATTCTAGCAAAATTTACCTCCTTGAGTAAACAGGTTGTTAGAAAACAGTTTCACAGAATCTTTGACATAAAGCTGTCTGTCAAAAATAAACAAACAAACAAACAAACAACAAAAAAACAGCTGCTTCTCTAGACTCTCTTTTTGGAAGGGTGCATAGGAGAATTCATAATCTGCATCGCTTTGATCGATCATTCAATCTTTGCATTGGTGATGTTTCTAATACAGGGGCTTAGCCTCTGGAATGACTCCAAACAGGATGGAACAAAGCAGCTAAGCCTATGTTAGGTTGCGATCTGAGCACTCTTAGGCAATAAATCTTTAATTTGCAAGACTGCCAACTAACTCAAAATTAGAATTAAAAGAACATTTAGCATTAGTGATGTTCTCAGTGTTGTTAGGAATTGCTTTCCTAGACATTTTTTGAAAGGCTGGGTGTTACTTGAAAGTATACTTCCAACACACCCATTGAACACGATAACTTTTCATTCCCCTCCCTCTCAGAAATCAAGCATAAAAGGCAGCAGGAAGATGCGGAAGAGGAAAAGGAATTGAAGCTCCTATGTATTATAGTCCCACCAGACAGGATGATTTGCTATGTCTGGGCTTGCATCCATCCTGCTGTCCCCAAGCAGATCTTTAATTTTACCAGTGCGGAAGGAAACCCCTAGTGTGAGCTTGTCTGCCTAGGCAAAGGCAGCTTCCCCTCCAGCATGAGGACAGCACGTGGTGATGCTATTCAGCTGTATGAGGGCAGAACCATCTCCCATCTGGGTAAGGGGAGGATTACCCACTTACTTGTGCAAGCCCCAGGTGCAAACAATTGCTTGGGCACAACGTGCACCTTGGCTGGAACTACAGAGAATTTCTCACTTGATTTTTCCTTTAGGTGTGCTAAAGCCTTTATGCGCATAGCACAAAGCTGTGCAGTTCCCAGCTCTTCCCATTTTGCACAGTGCATCCCTGTGCAGAGGCAGGTGCCATGCAGGTGGAATGTTGAGGCAGTGCCACGTGTCTCACAGTGGGTGCCAGCATGCTCCCCAGGACATGTTTCCTCCCTACTGAAGGATGCTCTGGTGGGCAGCCCTGAGCAGCCCCAGCATCACACCAGGCAGAGTGAGCAGAGGAAATGATGCCTCTTCTCATCTCATGACTCTTGCAAGTTTTCATGTTAAGCAGCGCAGGAATTGCAACGTCTCAGCTGAATGCCCTAATCCCCCTGCAATGCCTCCGTACTTGCTCTCCCTTGCTACTTAATTCTCTCTTATAAAACGGACATGCTACACTGGAGAGAAATTGGGAACAATCCCCTGCAGCCCCCGCCCTTGTTAGTTATGGCATTCCCCCATGAGATGTAAGCTTGTAGGTTTTTCCAGTGCAGAAGTGAACCAAGGTCTCCTGCAGCCTGACAGCCATACAGACGCTGAGATACTTCTCCCTGCCATGAAATGAAGCACATCTCCAAAGGACTGTGTTCCTGCCAGTGTATCTTTCCACATGCAATTACCTTCTCCCTTCTTCTGCTTTGGGATGGGGAAGAGGTGGGAATTTGGCCCTGAATGAAAGATTATTAGCTTCTCTCTCAGCAAGGGAAAAGACGGGGACATACAATAAGAATATTAATTTTAATGAGAAACTCAGGCTGGCAAGAGAACTTTATTGTCAGAAGTGAAATTAGCTCTTCTACATAAACAGTTAGTGGCGTCGAGGGACTAGTCATTCATTGCCCAGAAGGAAAAAAAAAAAACAAAACAAAACACAAGAGTCTTTAAGGGTCCTTACTCTCAAGAATGCTCTTGGCTGCTTAATGCAGAGAGGATTTGCTTTGTACTTCAGCAGACATCAAGTATGAAAGATATCATCCCTTTCCAGTGTTCTGAAGTAGTAAATATCCAACAGGAACCAAGGCTTTTCTCTTGACCCTTCCCCTTCTTCCACACACACACACACACACACACACACACACACACATTCTCACATGCTCTACAGATTGTATTTTTTTAAGCTGTTTCTAAAATCAGAGGACCATTAAGTGAAAAAACCCTCACATTCACAATCCTGCTCAGAATCCTTCTCTTTAAGCTGTCCTTGCATGACTCACCTTTCCCAGTGCTGCTTTTCCTCCTTCCCCTTCCCTCTTGCCACCCTGCCATTGGGTGACAGATCCCATGGTGACCATTCACAGAGAGTCCAGAAAAAAAAGACAGCATCTTACCTGTAATCATAGGTACTAGAATAGCTTCTTCCCTGCTGGGGCACAGTCTGCCAAGCAGCCTCCCAGCATCTAGTTAGTAGAATGGGATTTAACCCACAGGGTAAGAAACCATGTTTCTTGAAAGAAACTGTTACACAGATCACAGATTCCCAGAAGGAAGGTGTTGTTGTGCTCACATCTGATATTGCAAAATAATAACAATAATAATAATAATGTTTTATGTTTTAGAACTAGAATGCAGTCAGCCTTCCACAGAAAGGTGTTATTTGGTGGAAGTGATCCTATTCTACTTTTGAGAGTAGGGCCAAAAGAAAATATCCACTGGAGCATATTTCTTCACAGAAACTGTCCACACCTCGTAATGTTTTTTTGTTGTTGTCGTTTTTCCCCCTAGCACAAAAAGAAGCAAATGTGTGCAAATCCTGCTTCCGCTTCCACACTGGCCAGAAAGGATTGTGTGGAAAAATCTGGCATGCCTCTGCCTTCCTTCCCATTCAGGACTATTTACCCTGTTGTGCTGCTGTGTCTCATGGGATGTGAAATTAAATAACACACTGATACTAACTAAAAAATGGGCTTAGCACATCCAGTGACTCATAGGAACATGCTCTGCCAATGTGAGGTGGCACTGAATGGCACGGAGGGACATGGGCTAGTGGGCATGGTGGTGATGGGTTAACCATGGGACTACATGATCCTTTGGTCTTTTCCAGACTTAAAAATCCTATGACAACATATTCTTAAACATTCACAATGTTTTTTTTTTTTTTTTTTTTTTTTTCTGAGGATAAAGAGCAAATATCTTAAATCATACTGCCATGTCCTGGTAATTCTGACAGCATTCAGTTTACATATAACCTTGCTCATTCTTTTCCCCCACCTTTAATTCAGGATAAAAAATCTATCTTGAAATACATTCAGCTTTAATTAAACAAAAACAGACAAGAGTCAGAGCCATCTGCATTTCGTACCATACTCCATAATGTCTCAATATCACAAACTCTAAGGAGTAACACTATACATTAATGGGAACATGTGTCATATCTACTTGCTCTTTATGACTTACGGGCTATCTATATTATCCCCATGTCTCCCAGTCTCTGAAAACAAGTGTAAATAGTAATTCTTATTAACTGCAGAGACACCTGCACCGATATGGACAAATCTGGTCAACAGCAGGTTCCCCTGCTGTTTTACTAAGCCAGCAACATGCTCCTGTCTCTGGCAGATGCTCCTGTTTCGTGTTACTTGTAAGCAGATACCAACTTTATGCACTTTTTGAAATTCCTTTCAGGAACCAATGTCCTTCTGGCTATCAAGGGCCTTTTGTTGCAACAGAGCAATGAAGAGATCAGGAAGGTACCGGGAGACTGAACTGGTCCTCAAAATTACTGGCAGCTTCTGTTAATCTTTCCATATCCCTTCTGCTAGGGATTAGCAGCAGCAAGAAGGATAGGTTTACTGGGAAAGTCTTGTAAATAAACAAATGTTTCCAATCTAAGCATCCACCCCATTAGATACCACTTAAATTACCACTTTAAGCACCTAGTACTACTGAATACCTTTCTTGGGCATACTAATCGGTAATACTTCTCTTGAAAACTCTGGGTATTTGTGTGAAACAAGAGCAGTGTTAGGAGGAAAAGTAACATAACATCAACTTGAGAAAACACAGCAACAAACAAATCCCAATGTATGGTGAGTGGAACAGTGCTTTCTGACTGTTCTGCAATCTATAGAAACCATGGGCTATGGGGACCTCTGGAGCCATTTAGTGCAAACCCAAGTGGTGGCAAGCAACAAATTTATGTTATTCTCTTCTTAAAATTGAGAAGTCCCATGTTAAAACTTTCCAGGGTTCTGTATTTTATCTACAAGCCATGTGTACTCAAATCCTGCTGCTATTGGTTTGCCCCACGCAAGTCTTGTGAGGCGCTGTCATCTCCCTTGCAGAGACTGAGTACTTTGTCCCCACATTTTCCCTCAGATTCCAGCCACGTTGCAAACCTTGCAGTTGTTAGAAGAGGAACAGATGCCAGGAATCAACATCGTATAAGAGTAGGTCCTCAAAAATGTAGGAACTCATTGCTTCCGATTCAGTGCTGCATGAGGCAACTGGGTTTGTGAGCAATTTTAAGCCTTAAGCAAAGAGCTGCACACCACATTCTGAAATACCTGAGCACGTCCTGCACATGGCACAGTGCTGCCTGTGCCACCCAGCTGGACACTGCAGCCCTTCAGCACAGATACCCACAGCTAAGGTTGTCTGCCTCAAAACCACCATGATTACGTTACAGCATGGCATTGCTGAGTGAATTATTGAGAATTGAGGAGAGATGTAGTTTGTGGAGCTATGTGGAGCTTTCCTTTGTTCGGAAGCAAGAATTGATCATACCTAGATATATTGACTAGCTGCCTCTGTATCTGAGTAGAAATACAGACATCTGATAGAGTAAACTACCAGAGGCATGCCAGGGTAGCAGATTTAGAGCGTACATTAAAATGAATATGAGCAGCAAAATTAAAAGGCAGCATTTTTAGAATTGTTAATTTTATGGTAATTGTAAGTCAAAGTAAAGTCTGTTTAAAAATCCAGGATGTCTATTAGGAGTCCACAGACCAACAGCACATCAACAAAAATTAGAAAAGGAGTCCAGATTTTAATTGTAAATGGGATACTAATCATCAGCAACGCAGTTTCCCAAGTGTCAGTCAGAGATGGTTGTTTGACATTTTACATTTTACTCTTCACTTTAACAGAAGCTCACCAATGACCTCTTTAGTGGTAACTGGTACTGTAACTGGCTACCATAACATGAACTACCTCACACTGAACTAGCTAGCAGGAGCATTCTTTTGGATAAGTGTCCAAAGCCTTTCCTATGAGCGCCTGAATCCCAATTTTGTAACCAAAGATTAGCAATCAGTGGTAAAGAAGACAGCATTTCTTGTAGCTATTACTGTTCATTTTTCCTGCACTTCAGCTTTGCTGAAGCACAGGCCAATGGACTGTCTTTGCAGTATTTCTTGGGAAGCATCGCAGCTAAACACCATAGCTAATGTGTGCTGTGCTCAGGGAGGCAATATTTTATCAGTTCCCAGATAGCTTTCTTGCATACACAAGGGATGTACAGCACGTCGTGCCAGGGTCACCTGTAAGGATTTCACTTATTCCTTGGGATGATGTTTGGCACACCAAGAACATGTCCCTGGACACTTAGTCTGAAGTTTCCAGTACACTCTTAACATGAGTACACTCATTCTAGCTGAGAAATTTAGCTCCAAGTGGAATTTTCAACCAGATGAAGATTACCTACATCAGAGGTAATCTCACAAGGCAAGCTCCCCTACTGGCACTGAGATGAATGTGTCTAGTCCCACCAAAAGAGTTCAGTGCACAATAACTCTTTACCTCCTGGAACAGGTAGGACAGCATTGAGCACTTGTGCAGTGATGACAGAAAAATCATTTGCAGGAGTACAGTCTTCCCATTGCTGAGTGCCATGCAAACAATTAATCCAGTCATTTCTTCTTCACTGCTGCTCCTCAGCCCCGGGAAGCTGAAGGCTCTGGCTCTGCACACGGTGAGTGTCGGTACCACAACCTCAGTCACTGTGACTGAGTCTCAAGAAAACTGCATCAGCTGAGCTCGGACATCCATCCTGTGGGCACGCCAACTACTGTCAGCCTGCATTTTAGAGACAATAAAGATCATAATAACTGTTACAGTGCAAAGTTTCACCAGCTCGTACAGCTCCAAAACATTCCAAACCATTCCAAACCATTCCAAACGATTCCAAACCAGGATGAGATATGTCTGCTAAAGATTTTGCCACAAAATATTTAGATAGTTTGAGTTTTTTTCATAAGATGACTTTACGTGTATCTCTTGTACAGCCTGGGGTAGGCACTCAAGGAGGGTTTGTCGCAGTCATTCATTCATTTCAATTCCAATTGGCTGTATACAGCCATCTGGCTATGTATGTACCATTATTCTATACCTATCACCATGGTATCTAAGTGCCCTCTTCATGTCCCTGTTTATATTCATTATTCACGAGCCTTTGTGCAAACAGGATTGTGTTCCCCTTGAAGGTTTGGAGAACGACTGCTCTTCATACAAATGGCCACATTCATATGTTAACGTGGGCGTCTGTGCACAACAAAATATTCATTACAAGGCCTGTCTGCTATGTATCATTCATTATTCTTCCATCTCAGATGTTTCCCTGTTCCAAGCAAGAGACTTCAGTGACCTCTCACTCAGCACAAATAGTGAATGGTAAGAAGGAACAACTTGTGAAGACCCTTTGTAATCACAACACTCTTCTATGACACTTAACTAAGTCCTGGTCCTTTGCGGCCATATCCAAATGCCACAGTAGCCACAGTAAAATCCTGACTAAGCAGAAAACAGGAAAAAAAGAAAAGAAAAAAAAAAAAGAAAAAAAGATATTCTGAAAGGAACTGATTCAAAATATGAGAGAGAACCAACTGGCACCATTTTTGCTTCTAACCAGGGCTTCTATTTTGCCAGTCAGTGCCTATCTCCTTCATTGAGGGAAGCCCATGGAAGTGGATACATCCTTGGCAAAATGCACACTGATGGTGAAGAACACGCTTTGAGTTCAAGGCATTCAGATGATGTTTTCAGAATGAAAGGACTGGAGCCAAGCCTTCAACAGGGCACCAAGACTGGAGATTTTGTCCTCAGAAATGCAGAGTATTCTGCATCTCCTCAGCCAAATTTATAGGATCTGCTCTGCCATCAGAACATTTGTACATAATGCATCAATATTGGCTTTCAAGACTAATTTTTGGCTCCCATTTGCAAATCTTGTTTGAAGTGTATTCTAGAAATTAACTGCATAAAATCTAATAAGTAAACAATTTAGATTTAGGTTGGATGTAAGGAAAAAGTCTTCTGCAGTGAGGGGTGATGAGGCACTGGAACAGGTTGAACAGAAAGTGGTTGAAGCTCCACCCCTGGAGACTTTCAAGGCAAGACTGGATCGGGCCCTGGGCAATCTGATCTATCTGTGGTGTCCCTGTTCATAACAGGGGAGTTGGACTAGATGACCTTTAAAGGTCCCTTCCAACTCTAAAGACTCCGTGATTCTATGATTCTATGAATGAATGAGTGACAAGGTAAAAAGTGTAATAAAGAACAGAAGAACTCTTCTGGATGCTTAAGACTGTGTACATCCTGTTTGGCAGTACTGCACCTCAGTCCATGTCATTGCAAAAAAACAAGGTGCAGTGAAACATGGTCTGAAGTATAACAGGAGCTTAAGGGGGACATAATGTATTTAAATGCCAGACAAAACTGTTTATCACTTTAAATAACCTGCATAAAATCAGATCAGAGAGGAAGAAAAGCAAAATGCAATAGGAGAGAGCTAAAAATTGGTTTAGATGTCTTTCTTTATAGTAAGCTTACTGCCACCTGTTTGCTTAGTAGTAAGTTGAATCTACAAATTAGTTTAAAAGGTGACTTTCAAATAATATTTAGCAGGAGGAGATGCTGTGGAAAAAAAATCTTAAATCTTTCAGAGTTATTATCTTTCTTGTGTGAGGGTGTTGTGTGGCCTCTGCAGCCATTCAAAGTGGCCAGTGGTTCCCAGCATGCTCAGGGAGAGCTGACACACTGAACTAATCTTTAATTTATTGATGCTCTACTTCACTGAGAGACGTAGTATATCAATAAATGGCTTTAGTTAAGAAGTGAAGGTCTAAGAAGCAGTGGTAGGAGCTTGCAAAAGTACATCAAAGCTTACAGAAAATAAAATCGAGAGCTTGTGGGAGAAAATTGATGTCTAGGAAGGACAGAAAGAACAAACAAACATCACAAACTTCTAAGTAAGACTTCTGTACAAGACAGTGTTGTTGGCCATCTTAAACACACAATTTGCAAGCTTTTGTGTACTTCTTGGTTGCCCAGCAGCTTATAAAAATATTGTTATGGAGTACCTTTCAGTGATGAACAGTAACAAAAACAGTAGACCTAAACTGAAGGAAGAAATCACTGTCCTGTCTGGTAACTGATGGATTTTGTGAGATGATATACCTCGAATCACTTAACCTGCTACTGCATCCAGCAGCACTAGGAGGTTTGTTTGCCTTGATGATAAGCTCAGCACACATAGAAAGAAATAAAAGCAAATCTGAGTCAGTATTTGTGGCCTTTTCTTGTAACTCCTGTCATCTTTTTTTCCCTTTAAAACGGTTAAAAATACAGGATGTGCACATCCATGTCAGCTGCAGAAGCAGGTACCTACCTGCAGCTGGTATCTCTATATATAGCTGACACAGTCCTATTTTCTGCGTGTGTGAGCATTGCAGATCATTCCCCATGTCCAGTTTGTGAAGAACAGAGAGCCAAAGAAGTCAGAAGGACTGGACAGCAGGCGGACCCAGCAGGTCCCTCTCACAACCCTGGGCAATTGAAGGTGTGTATCATACAGACATACATCCTTCCTGGCACAGAGAGAAAGATCTCCCTTTTAAAGGTTGTTACAGCATTGTTTCTTAAATCATCATCTGCAGATGTCAGTGCTTGAATAATACCTCATCCTGTCTGCGTAAAATGCATGACACTGAGTGGTGACTGGTTCCACATGGCAGCTTTCCACCAGATGCTGCTGCCTCTGAAAGATCCCTTCCCATCCTGGGGAAGAGGACCTGATGGAAGAAGGTGGTTCATGGAGATTGCCTTGCCAGAGAAAATAAAAATGTGGTAAAATCAGAATCACTGATTGTCCTGGGGTCCACTGGTGCTGCTGCTGTTGGCATTGCATGGAAAGCCACTGGAGATAAAGGGGAAGCTGCCTCAGAGGAGGAGCTGGGCCAGGGCACTTGAGGAGATAGGATTTACTAGGTCTCAGGTTCTACAATGATTTCAAATGCCCAGCAGTTTGTTCTTCATCTTCTTGAGGAACATGTTGGTGTGTGGGACAAGCAGGTAGTAAACAAGCTGGAGAAGCTCCGGTGTTCCGGTGGAATTCAGTCCAACACAGCCCAAGTGACCCTTCTGTGTTTCAATGGAGATGGACCCCTACCTGGGGACAGGAACTCCTGTGTTTGTGGCTGTCCTCAGCCCAAAGACACCTTTGTGAAGATGCCAAATGTGAAGAGCTCACACCCTCATGCCACATCTGTCCGTGCTTTTCACTAGTCCTGGTTCAGTGTGTGAAGACACTGAGATGGTTTCCAGAAACATTTAAATTCCCCATACAGCCCAGATAGCAGGGATACACTTCAGAGTTTCATGCATAACCATCTCAGTGATGAGATCTTTGATTTAGCAAAAAAAAAAAAAGAAAAAGAAAAAGAAAAAGAAAAAGAAAAAGAAAAAGAAAAAGAAAAAGAAAAAGAAAAAGAAAAAGAAAATAGTGGTTGCTCTTGGTTTCTCTTCTCCTTTTCATACTTCAGTGTCCTCTAAATGTTCTTTGAGTTTCCCTTCCCTCCCTCCAGCTTTTCCCCTCACATAGCACTTTTCCCCCAGCCTGTGCCATCTGGAGGATGTTCTGTGGTCTCTTCTGGGCTTCCTGCTGCTACTCCAGCTCTCTCCCTTCAGCTTCTTTTTTTGGTAGTTTTTTCTTCAAAGGAGCTAACAGAAGTGTCAGCTGGGGGAGTGAGATGTATCTCTGTTAACAGCTGCTTCCTAAAAACCTTCAAAACTGGTTAGTCTTCAAAGGTTGGTGTAGGTTGTTCACCCAAGGATAGCAGCTCTGGAGAAGCCCCAGCCCTGTCCTTTTTCACTCTAATGATTTCTTGAACTCCAGAGAAAAATCCTTCACTACATTAATTTTCTATGCCAGACACATCCCAGCTGATGCAAATCACTTATGCCCCAACACATTGTTTTACATTCAGAAATGCAAAGGCACTCATTTATTGCAGATTTCACCTGTGCACTGCCTGTGTTAATGCTGCAAATTCATTCAACATGTAGCTCTTAATGTCACAGTCTTCCCTTAGCATTTTAGGTAGGACGCTGGCTCAGACCTGAGGATGCTCAGCCATGCACTCATCTGACTACAGAGGTCTTCGCTGTCTCGGGCTTTCAGACACACTGCGGTGTCGCTGCTCAGGCTTTCACTTTGAATCAAGTCAGCAGTTACAGATTTCTGCAACGTCTTTGCAGTTTCAAAGCTTCCTCTTGAATTTCATACTCAAGCAAAGCTGCCAGTGAAAACAATGAGCCGATTGCCTGAGTAATGAGCATAAAATTGGAGCCGAGGTCAGGAAAAATTACTGTGGGAGAAAGGCTGCAGTGGCTGAGTGTATGCAGCACTCCTGTTAGCTCCCTGTCAGAAGACTAAACCTTTCATTCCATAGATCTTTTTATAAACCCCCCTAGCTTACAATTTTCTCTATAAAACAACCGCGGATTAAATGTGGCTTTTAAAGAACAGAAGGAAAGGAAACACCCAGTACCTGATCCGTGTCTGAAAGGCAAAGAGGGAGTTTTATATGAAAAAGAGAAAGTAAAAACTTTTTTATTTCAGTTTTTACTGGGGTTCTGATTTTAAGTCGTAGAGTATTTCAGAGAATCTCATATTCAGCTCTTTTTTTTTCCAGTGGTACCTTTTTAATCCTGGATTTCACTAGTAGTTCATCACTCCTTCTCTCCCTCACTGCCCACCCCAATTCACTGTCAGTGCTTCTGGCTGACTCTGTTCACAGCCCTCCCTTCTAAGCTCCATTCTGTGCTGAGACTTCTCCCCACTGCAGCAGAGCCCAAAGCCTTAATGTAACCTGGAAGCCAAGCAAAGTCAGCTGCGAGAGACCAAGTGGAAGAAAATAAAAGGCACAGGCCACGTGCACTGAGCACTTTGCAGATGGTCATAGCTGGGGTGCCAGCAATTGGAAAAGCAAAAATGCACCTGAAAACAATGTGGTATTTTAATCACTACATACATATATATATTTTAGTATATTATATATTATATTAATTACACAAGATCTGTTGTCTGTATTAACCATTATCATAGAATCATTAAGACCTCTAAGATCATCCAGCCAACCATCAGCCCATCCCCACCATGCTCACCAGCCATGTCCCTCGGTGCCACATCCACACAGTTCTTGAGCACCTGCAGGGATGGTGACTTCACCAGCTGTTTGAGCAGCCTGTGCCACTGCCTCACTGCTCTTTCTGAGGAGAATAATTTTTTCTTAATATCCAACCTGAGCCTCCCCTGGCACAACGTGAGGCCATTCCCTCTCGTTTTATCACTGTTACCTGGGAGAAGAGGCCAGCACCTGTCTCACCACAGTCTGTCTCACTGAGTGGTAAGGTCCCCCCTGAGCCTCCTCCAAACTGAACAATCCCAGCCCCCCCAGCTGCTCCCCTTAAGACTTGTGCTCCAGACCCTTCACAGCTTTGTTGCCCTTCTCTGGATACACACTGGAGCCTTGCTGTAATGAGGGGCCAAAAACTGAGAACAGTACTCAAGGAATGGTCTCACCAGTGCCAAGTAGAGGCAGAAGGTGATTCTCACAAAAAATTCTTGCTTTTTGTTCTGAACGTTTAATCGTGCCTTGACAGAATTTCCAGGAGCTGACTGAAGAGCCTGCGTGTTTGTCAAAAGTAACATGAAATCTAAGCCTGAAAAAAAATGAATGTCCTTGTAGTGAAGGGCTTTAAAACCGTTACTGTCCCCTCACAGTAACTGAAGTGCCCAAAACTGGGAGGGAGAAAAAAAATTTCTTTGTTATTCTGCATCTAAATTAGAAGCTGATAAATTTACACAGATGAGATGATCTCCAACCAAAATGAGTAAGTTATTTATTCTTGTCCTTAAGAGCCAAGTGAAATGAAAGACAGATATTAAGAAAACCTGGAAATTCACACCTCCTATTTCATTATGACAATAGTCCATGCAGTCCCTTTTTTCCCATATTCCAGGGCACTCCCTAGAATGCCATTTGCAGCACTTTCTGAAGAAGGGCGCACAGAAATCAAACAGATCATTATTTTTTTGCAAGAAGACTGGAGGGAAATAATGTCTCATTTGAATAGTAGTAATAATTATAATAATTAATACCAATAATGATTCAGAACAACTCCAGCAGAAATGCCCAGTGTAGGAAACACAGGAAGCCACACTCACTTTAGAGATCCATGAAAAACCTCTGCTGAAAGTTGGTGCAAATTTGACTTACAAGTCTCAAAAAACTCTACCTTTTATCCCTGATAATGTTTTCTGAACAGCTGGAAGATAGGCTGAACAGGCTGCAGATTTATGTGCAACTAATCTAACCATGTAATAAATGTCTGTACTCCAAATGTGTATATTAAATAGGGCAGGGATCCCAACGTCACACAAGCAGTCCATATCAGAAGAGGTGACAGAAGCTTTCCCACCACCTCATTGCTTTCAGCGGAGTTCCAGGAGGAAGTGCGCTTTCCAAAATCACATTGTCTGTCAGTCAGTCCTCCCCTAATAATTCTCCAACCCATTAGCAAGTTTCAGACAGATATGAAGAGAGCCATAGAACTCTCAAAGATATTAAGTTCCTATGAGTTTCATAAAAATGAACTGCTGGATGGAGGAGAAAAACACTGCCTCCATCACTGCAGAAGGACATGCAGTGGGCACAGCCTCTTGAGCCAGCCTCAGCCCCAAACTCGGAGTCCTCCCTGAGCTGGGAATAGTTTGACTTGGAAGGGACCATGAATGCCATCAGGACCAACTCCCCTGCAATGAACAGGGACGCCTACAGCTACATCACGTTGCTTATAGCCCCGTCCAATCTGACCATGAGTGTCTCCAAGGATGGGACATCCACCATCTCTCTGGGCAACCCATTTCAGTGATCCACTGCCCTTATTGTAAAGCACTTCTTCCTTATATCCTATCTAAAATCTTCCTTCTTTCAGTTGAAAACCACTTCCCCTTGTCTTTCACATGGCATGGAGGCCAGCCTGCCTGCCTTCAGAAACACCTGGGCAAAATTTGTTTTTTTAATTCCAGTCCTACTCAGCTATATTCATGCAATGAATCTCAGCTCTGGACAAGCCATAACAGCATTTTTCAGTGAATAAAGTGGATTCAACCAAAAGTCTCTCTTAACTTGTCTTATGATACTCGATATTTCATGTGGAAGTCTATAAAACAACGTTTTACCCTAATCTTTTCAGAGTCACCAGGAAAAACAGCTGGGACATCCAAAGCAGGCATACAAGAGGGAGCTAGGGAAATTCTATTAAAGAGTTCATTAATAATTGATACGTAAGAACATTTTCTTGTGGAGGCAGATTAATCTTAAATTCCTTGCAGGAGGAGCACAATTCTGAAGAACGATGAGAACGTTTAGGTGACTTCCCTCAAAAAATGCAAAGGGCAGAGTATAGGTGCCTCACCATAGTGGGTTTTATTAAGAAGTGGAAAGGAATAGAAACTGTTTTTCAGAAGACAGTTATTCAATATGTCTCATGCAAACAGTTGCTGTTACAGAGGAAGCCTTCGGAGAGAAGAAGGAAGGCAAAAAAGACCAGCAGCAGTGGTACTGGCAGCAACAGGCTCCCTCTGTCTGGCTGACAGTTCTGGTGAGGCAGGAACCCCACTGGGGTTAGGGTTAGAACGTCTTCAGCTGTTTATGGGGATTTGCTAATTTATTTATTTCTTTTTTGCTCTTTGAAGGGGGTGAACTGCATTCTTTCACTGTTGACTGTAGGACCCACTTCTTTAAACAAGCCTAGGCAAATTTTGATGCCCTTACAGCCTAAGCAGACAATTAATAGGACGTGTATGTGTAAATTCTTTTCCTCATTCCTCATTCAGATTCTGATCCCTTCCCTCAAGAAATGTGATTGCTGAGAGGTAAGTGCTATGTTAGTGTTTTCTTTCCAGGTAAGACAAAAGAAATATTCCAACCTGCTGGCTGACAGGCATTGTCAGTCCCTCACTGACCTCTCTGCTGTGGCAAACCCGCTGCATGGAAAAACAAAGCCACCTTCTGAAACAGGGCTGCTTAAGAATCATGTGTGGGAAAGGGGATGGGGAAGACTCTGAACGGACAAATGTTTGTTCCTTTCTAGAGATCTGAGTGCTGCTCTCATCAAAACCAACTGCGTTGAGAAGGCTGCTTTTTTTGCACCACAGGAGGTGTGGAGTTTGCTTGCTGCTGCTCCCCATGAACAGCATCACCACCACAGAACAGCTGGCTCCACAGCTGGCTGTGTGTAGGCTGCTACTCACACCTTGCTTCTCTGTGGTGGCACCTTCAGTGGTCACCATGTCACGGCTGTACCACAAATGGCCAAAAACACTGGAACAGGTGTGAGAGTCCTATCCGTGCTGATCCTGCACTGCCTTCTCTCACCTTCTCTGAGAACCCAAATTCGTTTGTATGTCAGGATGGGGAACAACTAATTTTATCACATGCAAATGTTCGCTTACAGTGCTAAAGAAAGGGAGGGGGGGTGGGGGGGGGAAGAAGACGAAATATTAAAGGTAATAAAAGGGATATAACCGGTTGGAAAGGGAATAAAAGTACAGAAAGGAAAAGTAGCACTGAACAATCAGGGGAACGGCTTCCCAATAGTGAGCTCTAATAGGCCATGAAGGTCTCCCACAGGGAAAGGCTAAGAGCCATATCGCCTGGGACATTCAGAAGAAGACGTGATGAAACAGCAATAATTATGCAGCCGAGAACAATGCTCTGCAGCTAAGGGAGCGATAGGCAGAGATGATCCAGGAGATGCATTCCACCTTCAGGATCTCTGATTCACCTGTGTTTTGCTTTTAAAGAACTCACCTGACATGGAAGTGCTCCCTGCCGCAGCCTCGGACTGGGATGCAGAGAGTTTGTGTAATGCCTTATATTTCATTACCATTGGTTATAATTTAAATGCTGCATTGTTCCATAGTAGCTATGTGATGTATGACAGACTAATAAACACAAAATAATACAAAAATGAGTATTTTATGTCGCATCTTCCTCCCTCAAAACCTTGCAGATGTTTGGGTCCCAGTGATACTTCTTAGAGGATGGAGCTTGCAACTGCTATAATTAAGCAGTGCTGTACCATTAAGTCACTCGAGAGGAAATTAGGAACTAAACTAGCGCTGTGTGCCGAGGAAGCCAAAATTGTAAGCTGAGATCTTTATTCAGTGCCTGAAAGTCTGCCTTTTTCTAGCTTGCTTTCAAAGAGGTGTTATTCCTATTGCACACCATCAGAAGACGTAAAAAGTGAATTAAATCTGTATTCAATGTTTATTTTGCATGTAAAGTGGGATCTTAGATGGTGGGAAAAATATGTTTTTGTCAACAGCACTTTGTTCTGGTATTACTGTATTAGTTTTTAATGGGCAGAAGAAATGTGCTGATTTGGAGGCTTTCCAGGGGTTTGGCAGTATTCCATTGTGTCAGCACTGAGTAAAAAAGATGTTATTTCTTCTTGTTACAGTAAGAACTGGGTAAAGGTAATGTCACTTCTCTGAGTCATGCTGGCAGAGCTCCATCTGCAGAGATGCAGTTTGACCAAAACAACCAGAGTGTGAGACGTAGAAATGATACGTGATGGGAGTGAACTCCCAGTAAGCTGTTTGGGACAGATGCACTGACACAGCTCATACCCACTGGCAGAGGAAAGGGCTATCTCCCAGACAACACTGAGTGATTAGATCTTGGATAATCCACTGTCACAGGAGCCTTGTGTCAGAGGACTTGCTAGCACATATGGAGGCTTACAAAGCAGAATAAAGGTTTTCTGATTGCTGCCTTCAGTGCTGATTCTAAGGCACACAAGGTGGCCTTTCTTCACAGAGTTCTGTTCGAACATTCTCTTTTGTTTCCTACCACATCTCTGGTAGACAGCCATCATCTTTATTATCCATTACCTGCATCCTCACACAAACTTTTACTTTGTCTTTTTGTCTTTCACAGCCTCCACACAACCTTTCAATTGGACCCTTGACTTTGAAGCTGTGGCCGTCACCCAAAGAACCATAGTGCTTTTCTTATTTCAGAAAATCTCTGTAGACCCCAACTTGTCAGAGCATTGTCCTTCATCTCTCCTTCTCAGGTGACGCACTTTTTACTCACTACAAAGAGGAACACCAGGAAGGTATTGATGTACATTTTCAATTTAGTTCTTGAACTGATCTTTCTGCACCTAAATTGCCACCTCAACAAATTGCTCTTCTCACTGCTGTTGACATATGTCTCCCCTGATCTTGGACTTGGCTACGGTTTGGCAGGTTTTGTAGATGCAGCTATGTATTCTGCTGGTTTCCAGGTCTACAGGTACTCTTCCTTCCTCTTCACTTACCTACCTTGACTGGATCGGATTTATGTAAAGGGGAAACCACCCATTTGTCAGTGTATACAACAAATAAATAATTTTACCTTAATCTAAGTGATCTCAAAGCTTTGTGTGTGCTCACAAAGCTACTCATGAATTCATGAATAAGCCAAAAGAAATGGAAAAGGTGCCACTTCTCTGTCACAGCACTCCAGAGACCATATTTCAAAATGGGATTTTATAGAGCAAACTAACTGCATATCAACATCAGCTTCCAGCCACTATGAACATCATCCCATTGTGTACATTGCTGTGCAAAAATATAAAATATAACATAAGAGAGTCCTCTTATTCAGGGCTATATAGATTAAAAAACAAAACAAAACAACACAAAACAAAAAAACTTAACAGACAGAGATACAGCAAAGAAGTCTTATTCAGAGGGTTGAGTCCACACCCAGATTAACCAGTGTATACTTACCTGCTCT